CTGCTGTTCTTCTTCTTTTGCCCCCAGGTCTTTGCTCACCCTCTTCCTCCCTCTGGCTATGCTCCATCCTCCTTTTCGCCTACTTGCCTTGGGGAAAATTCTCCCATTTTATAACGTCCAGGTCAAGGGCAGCCTCCTTCTCTGCTCCTTCTCATCGGAGGTGATTCCTCTCCCCCAGCAAGACCAGAAGCCTTTGTTTATGCGTCTGCTCACATACTTTGCTGCATTCTGGCCATCCAACAGGTAGATTTTGTTCTCTGCCAAGGGTCAGGACAGCATCTCACCTGCCTCTGTTCCACCTCAATGTCTTGTACTCAGCAGTCAGAGCTGGGCTTCACTGGACGGGATGACACACGGCCTGGGGGCGAAGGCCCCATCCCCATCGCCTGCTGTGTCACACAGAGCAATGACTCCAGAGCAATCAGTGAGGTAAGTTCCCAAATCTGGCCATAAAACTTCAGTGACAGAAATAAAGGGCAGGAAAGCAACTTGCGATTACCAAGAAAATGAGGGGCAGTAATGAAGACAAGGTTAATGAGTCCTGCTGTAATAAAAGAAAAAAATTATTCAACAAAATGTAATAGAATTACAAATGCCAAGAGAGGAATGACAGGGAAAAAATACGTGGCAACAACATGGATGAAAATCCGTTCTCTAATTATACTGAAATTGATCAATAGTCATAAAGTCAGTACCCAGACTCCTGTATAAAGTAGTTCAAAGGGGATGGATAATTTCCACACAAGGATATATAGATAATAAATTACTATGTGGAAAAATGCAGGATTTTTGAGCCATGGAAAAGATACAAATTAAAACAATTAAAAGATATCATTGTGCACCAATTAAACATGCTTTCCTAATGATAACAAATGGATTTTGGCAAGGCTGTTGGTCTCTCTCTTGTTTCTCCAAAGACAGAGCCAATAGAACGGTGAATCCATGAAATCTCTCTGAGGTACAATTTGAAAATATGTAAAAAGAACAAGCACCCTGTTGCCACAGTTCAACTCAGTTGTTAGATTTGGAAGAAAATGTAGCAAAGAAATAATCTCAAAAGGGCAAAAGAGTTCTGCTAATCGGAATGTAAAAGTCAGCAAACCAAATGCTTGTCAAGTCTTGTGCAGGGTCTGGGAGTTTACCCTGCTTGCCAGCGAACACGCTACCCTGTAACTGTCTCATAGATACTGTCGGAGGGTAGGAGACTCCCGGGTCGGAGACAAAGGACGGTATTCCTCTGGGCAGCAGCGGGAGCTGGAGATCCGCGTTCATTTGGGCTGTCTCCCCACGTTTCCCGAGTCCCATGCGGGACCCTGCCCTGGCAGCAGGCTGTGTTAAGGAAAGGAACACTGAGCTTGGGGGATTCACCGCATCCATAGTGACTGGAAGCAAGCTGGCCCTTGGCCCAGGGGAGGAGGCTGCTCATCCTTTAAGGTGGCTTGCTGCAAACACAACTCTGAGAGGTGGCCTGGACAATGAGCAGTCAGGGCCTTGTAACCTTGACCTGCCCTGAGTGACCTTGCAGTGGGGCTCGGGGCCCCAGGATCACCGCTCCCAGCAGTGCCTCTTTCATTCACTCAGCATAGCCATTCAGATATCAAGCCACCTTTTGTGCACCTGGCCCTGAAATACAGTTGATCCTTGAACCACAGGGCTTTGACCTGCACATGTCCACTTACACCCAGGTATTTTTCCTATAAATACCTACGACAGTACCACACATCCCCTGTTGGTTGCATCCGTGAATATGGAACCTCGGGTGGGAGGGCTGACTGTAAAGTTAGAGGCAGACTTCCCACAGTGTGGCAGTCGGCACCCAAAACCCCTGGCATCACCCGAGGGTCACCTCTGGAGGCTAAGGATACCACAGGGAGTACATCTCCTGCGTAAGAAAAGCTTACATAGTAGGGGAGGCAAGTAGCAAAAAGGAAGCCAATAAATAACATGATGGCGTTTCCTGTGAAGTGCCGTGAAGACAAATAAAGCAGAGGAGTGGGACGGAGACGCCTTTAGACAGAGTGATCGGCTGTGGGGCCGATGGTCAGGGAAGGCCTGAGATGGTGACACGGCCAGAGACCAGAAGAAAGTCTCCCTTGAGGGGAGGGCGTCCCAGGCACACGGTAAAGCGCTGGGAATGGAGTGAGCGTGTCGCGAGCCAGGTGGCTGCAGGGCAATGACCAGGGAGAGGGGTCTGGGATGAGGGTTAAAAAGCCCAAGAAGACATGTAATGGAGACAGTATAGATTTTTAATTTATTATTTATTTTTTAGTTTTCCTTAATAGAGGCACTGGGGATTAAATCCAGGACCTTGTGCACACCAAGCACACGCTCTACCACTGAGCTATATACCCTCCATCCCCCCAAAATATATTTTTCTAAAATGACAAACGGACTTCGTATGTTAAAACACTTGGCATGAAAGAGTTAAATGGAAACCATCAGGCTGGAGCCCCAGTCCAGTGTATGGAGGGCAGCTTGGTGTCACAGATCAAGGTGGGGCGGGGGTCGTTGGAAGAGCCGAGCCACAAAACCCTCGGTGTCTCTTCATCTGCACGTGGGAAAGATGCCTAAGAAGCTTGTGGGTAAGATCAAGTGAAATAAAATGTGTGAACATGTTGTGTAGTTACAAATATTTGAGAGATTAAAACTGTAAAGCCACAATCTCCAGAAAAAGATCCCAAGGGGATGGAATCTTAGCTTTGAACTAGAAGTTAAAAATAGTAGCAGTAGTCCTTACAATGGAACACGCAGTCAAGTATAAAACTAGAGTTTGCTAATAATCTCCTGACAGGTATAACTAGCCTCATTTTTAAAATGAGGAAACTGAGTCTCAGACAGCTTAAGTTGCTCAAAGTCTCTCATCTTATCAATGGAACCACATAAAAAAGAGAAACTATAGCAACAGGAACAATGTTGAGAGAAATCTGCAAAATAAAGAACTGATTTTTTTAGCCATGAACAAGGTATGTGGATAGAAGCCAAGACGGGAAAATAGAAGCGTGCCCGGCATCTGACTGGGGCAAGATGAGTGCTTTTACAGTTTTGATATTTGCTCTCATCGTGTTTGCCCAATAAAATAGGAAGAAAATTATTACGAAACTATTTCAAAGGTGAGTCACCATTTCCTTCTAAAGGACAGTCTTTGTCATGTCGATTTTCTCAAAATTGTCCCAAATTCAGCTTTTCCCACAATTAAGTCCAAATCCTGCTGCTTGGCATTTACAGCCTGCGTGCGCATCTCCCGCCGGTTTGACCCCAGCCACTCACACTCCTGGCCAGGTCCCACCCTCCATTCATCTTGTCCGACATATAAATCCCTTCCCTGCAGCTCAGTAACTGACCACACCCCCCATCCCTGGGGTCCCTGAGACAGCCCACCATTTCCGGTATTTTTATCAACCACTTGACACTGACTCCAGAAAGTCCAAGTATTTTTATTTTGATTCCTTTGCATGTTGCTTTTTATGCCCCAGGAGTGTGCTGTCAAGTCTGTGCGTGGAAACAAGAGCAGTCCTACACAGGAGGCAGGGAGCCAAAGCCCCCGCTCCATGAGAGGTTTAGGAAGGGGGAGGAAAGGAGGACATTTTGGGTGTCCTTCCTGCAGGGTCTGGATCCCTAAAGATCACCCGGAATGCCAGAGGTGTCAGAGGACCAGGGAAGGAGCTCCTCCACCTGCTGCAGCCTCGGGGACCTTCCCGGAAAGAGCCTCTTGTGGGCGCTCTGCTCAGGCTGAGGCTGTTCCCAGAGTGTTTGCAGGAAGCCGGTGGATGACGGCTGGTCGCGCTGCTGAGACGAGAAGGGGCAGTTTGGGCTCTGCATTCTACGCTTCTGTTCTGCTCTCAGGAACTAAAGTAATGCAGCTTTAAGTTGATTTCATTATGACTGATCTATTTTTTAACGTGTTAAGAGACTGAAAATGGGGCCACAGGTGCGGGCTCAGGGAATTTCACCTTTCGCGTGGTTTCTACCTTTGCTCAAGAGTCAACAAAAATAACTCCCTCCTTACCCTGCATATGAAGAACTTGAAGACGAAAGACGGATACTAGGGTCAAGAATGTTAGCAACTCGAAGGGGAGGGCAGCGTGGGAATGCGGGTAGGGATGTGACGGGACGGGTCAGGGATGGAGAGGAAGTTGTGAGCGCTCTCTCCCCCGGGCTTCTCCCAAACTGCTTAGAAGCCGTGTTCTTTCAACAAAGGGAGTGAACTTCTCAAGGCACCGTGAAGCCCTCGCTGGGTGAAAGCGTTGCGAGTGAAGCAGCAGGCAGGATGGAGCCGGGTTTCGGAGCTTCCTGTTTGATTTGCCCCAATACCAGATTCTCCTAGTTCCCTCATACTTAGGATGGAGATCATAAAACCAGAACCTCTTGGTCCGGGAGAGGGCGAGCCCTTCTGTGTCCGGATGTCAATCTGTGCCCCAGGCCGGTCACAGGGATCCGCGGAGGTGGCGGCTACGGAATTCCTCCGCGATTGTGAACCTTCTCCTGGAACTCGGTATTAAGATGCTCTCCGCGCGGCGAGGGCGGGGAGACCTGAGGGACGTGGCAAAGGCCTGGCTCCTGTTAGCGGCTTCTCCAGACCACCCGGCCCCCTCCCACCCGGGGTGCAGCTCTGCTCCCGATGCTGCCGGTGTCAGGGTTGTGGGGCCACTCTCCAAGCCCGCCCCTGCGAGCAGAAACTCGCGGCGCTGTCGGATTCTCAGCCCTACGACAGCTGGTTGCCCCGGGGACGGCGAGGAGAGGCGGGAGGGACTGGCGCGCCCAGAGTATCTGGTCTCTTGAGGGGTCGCACTTTTTTTCTCCCTCCACTGGGCAAAGAGGTCTACGAGGGCTCCATGCAGAGGCGCCAAAGGAGGGCTGCAGCCCAAGGAGGGACCAGAGTAGGGGCGAACTGGACCCCACTCTGCCCTCCCCGGGCACACAGTGCCCCCTTCCACGCCCCACCCGCCGGGTCCACGCAGAGCCCCGGGCGCGCGTGCGTCCCCGCCGAGGAGCCGGGATCCCCCGCAACGCGCGCCATGGAAGAGGCTAACCTCTCTGCGGCCACTACCGGCGTCGCTCTTCCCCTGGGACCCGAGGCCTGCAGCAGCAGCCCAAGCCCGGGCGGGGTGGCGGGATCAACCCCAGGCGGCCCCTCCCTGCCTGGCCGAGAGCCTCTCTTCTCCGTCTTCACCGTGCTGGTGGTGACGCTGCTGGTGCTGCTGATCGCTGCCACCTTCCTGTGGAACCTGCTGGTTCTGGCCACCATCCTGCGAGTCCGCGCCTTCCACCGTGTGCCGCATAACTTGGTGGCCTCGACGGCCGTGTCGGACGTGCTAGTGGCCGCGCTGGTGATGCCCCTGAGCCTGGTGAGCGAGCTGTCTGCTGGGCGACGGTGGCGGCTGGGCCGGAGCCTGTGCCACGTGTGGATCTCCTTCGACGTGCTGTGCTGCACCGCCAGCATCTGGAACGTGGCGGCCATCGCCTTGGACCGCTACTGGACCATCACGCGCCACCTGCAGTACACGCTGCGCACCCGCCGCCGCGCCTCGGTGCTCATGATCGCGCTCACCTGGGCGCTTTCCGCGCTCATCGCCCTCGCGCCGCTGCTCTTCGGCTGGGGCGAGGCGTACGACGCTCGGCTCCAGCGCTGCCAGGTGAGCCAGGAACCCTCCTACGCCATCTTCTCCACCTGCGGCGCCTTCTACCTGCCGCTGGGCGTGGTGCTATTTGTCTACTGGAAGATATACAAGGCGGCCAAGTTTCGCTTCGGTCGCCGCCGCAGGGCTGTGCTGCCGCTGCCCGCCACCGTGCAGGTGAGGGGCGGGCTGCGGAAGGGGGTCTCGGGGAGGGGGGGGGCTGGGGGAGGAGGAAGCCTGGCGGAAGTGAGAGCTGGGGGGGTGGAAGCTGGTACACTCGGCGCACGCGCGGAAAGGTGGGCCACCAGCGCGCCCAGAGGGCACGGGGAGTTTGCCCTCTGCTCTCCCGGGGCGCACACGGAGGGGCTCATCGCCCGCGCCCGGCGCGCAAGCGGAGGGCTCGCCGCCCGCGTCCCCGGTGCGCGCGGGGGAAAGGGCTTGGGCGCCTGCACACGGAACTGCAG